GATAGATAGATAGATAGATAGATAGATAGATAGATAGATAGATAGATAGATAGATAGATAGATAGATAGATAGATAGATAGATAGATAGATAGATAGATAGATAGATAGATAGATAGATAGATAGATAGATAGATAGATAGATAGATAGATAGATAGATAGATAGATAGATAGATAGATAGATAGATAGATTTTTTCAGTCATTTGTTTTCAGAACGATTTTCCATCATTTTTTGTAGAAAAAAGAATAAAAGTGCATAGACATGTCCATAAAGTCTTACTGTCATTTTAACCCAAATGTGCCCATTAATTATTTATCACATAATATTTATTTATGTTCAGCAAACTACAATCAATTATATTTTATTAACTCAGAAATTCCAATAGGTTCTTGAAATCTGTTGATGATATTATGAAATGCAGATGATGGAGACTCAAGCTCTTCGTATGTTTCTGTTAAACAGCATTATTCTGAAATACTTCCATTCTTGTTCAGCGATAAAATGCTCATTAACTACATGTTAATTAACCTCCTCCAGCTGTTTGTTATCGATACAACTTTTACAACCCTTAGTTGCCTCTGTTCCAACATTTTGAGACATGTTACTGCCATCAAATACAAAATTACCCTTTTTATCCCTAAGAATGGTACAATTGCATCGTTTCAACTTTTAATAGGTTTACAATATTCCATTGTGAATAAAATTTGGATTTATGAGATTTGCAAATCGCTGCTTTCTCTTTTGTTTTTACATTTTCAACTTTTGCAGAGTTGAGTTTGTAAAACTGTCTTTTATTTTTTTTAATCTAGCATCCTCTGTGGTATTAAGCGCGCCTTGCGTTTGAACATGTTTCGCCATACGCTGATCTCTGGCAGTGGATAATCTGAACACGTAATCTGTTGGTACTGGACAGCTCACTTGTAAGCCGGTCGGTCTGAGCTCGCGGCAGAAAACGAAAAAAAAGGCTGTTGATGTAACGAGGTGTAGCTCTAACGAGAGTCTGAGCACAGTGAAAACACTTGGGGTGATTTTTAGCTCCACATCTGTTAACTCAGCACTGAAACGACGAAATCGAAGAGGCTCGGCGTGAGCGCTGATTAAAGGCTCGAGTCCAAGAGATTTATTCAAAGGAAAGGTTTTATTTTTTAAACACTGGGCTCTTTTTTTTTTTTTTGTCAGCTGCTTCGACTCATTACAAAATCATCAAAACGAGACTGTGAGCGAGAACTGCCGAGTTAGTGAGAAATTCAGGATGTATTTTTGTACGTTTAGAATTAAGATTTAGATTCATGATGCTTTTTTTTTTTTTAATCTTCCAGGCAAACTTGAAGTCAGGCTTCTTGGCTGTGAGGATTTACTGAAACCTCTGAAAGACGTGGAGCAGGAAAATCCTTGGACTCCCAGTGAGGACGGCTCGACCGACGGACCTCCCAGTGCGTAGACGGTTCACGCTTTTAAAGCTTTTCGTTTATTTTTATATTTCACTGTTTCAGTAGCGGCTACGTTTTCTAATTATGATACAACAGAATTAAATATTTTCAATCATCCAAGCATAATTAAATTTTTGCTGCAACTAAAACAAAACAAAGCATAAAAGTAGAATATTGTGATCTGTTAGTGCTCAGGGTTTTAGCTGAGGACGACTCTCGGCTACTACCACATCAGCTTTTAGCTCAGTATTTGTAAAAGTGACTAAATTATAGAAATGTTTGTGTTTTCTCAGGTGAATTAGCTGTGGCGGCCATCTTGAATTGAGTTGACTCCAAAAGTTAATCAGTTATAGATTTTTTTTTTTCTGGAGGTTTCATCAAAATCCATCCAGTGGTTCATTAGATATTTTGCTAACAGACAGAAATGGTTTGCAAAAGTTATTGCCAAATATTTAAAAGAAGTTTGGGGATACTTTCAGCTACTACCAAACCATAATTTAGTTTAGTTAAATTAAGGTTATTGTGTATTTATTTAGTTATTAAGATGCATATATACAAATATGAGATTTGTTTTGCTGAAATTGATTCTGAAGTAGAAAATATTTGCATGAACTGTATTTTATTTCATTACATCCTCAATTCAGGATGGAGGCTCCTCTCAGAAATGACCCGTTGTCTTATTTGAACAGAGAAGATAAACTATAAAACACGTTTGATTTTATAATAAGCGTTAAAAGTCTGACAACGTCTTTTTTTTTTTTTTTACTGTTTTATATACAAATTTGTTTTAAATAAAATCTAAAAAAGTGCAGATCTGGGTCAGTTTGTGCGTTACCAATAAAGATCCATGCCGCTTGAGTTGAGCTCTGTCAGTTTTTGTGTTTTGAATCTGTTCCCGTCAGCAGAGATCAGAGCAGTGCTGCGGCTGGACGGCAGGGTGCTCGGACGGACTCGCTGGGCAGCTGCTGGCAGACTGAGCTGGGATCAGATGTTCTACATCCAGCTGGAGCGGGTAGGTCCGCTCACAACCATAAAACCCACACTTTCACTACAGTACGCTGGTATTTATTGTATTTTACCGCAGTACTTTCACATACAACGGTTATCTTTGGTGTTTTTATCTTCTTTATGCTTGGATTAACACTTGCAGTATATTTTTATACATGAACAGAAGTTTAATAGTCTAAATTTGTCAAATAATTGGTTAAAAAAAAATTCAAGAAAGGATGAAATTAGCATTACTTGAAGGAATGTACCAGGATATCACCCGCAATCCAAATCAGTTAATCAGGTGGTTAAACAGTCAGAAGCTACATAATCCGTGAATGGGGTGTTCTCCAGGTCTGGATTAATTTGGAAAAAGAAAGTAACGTTTGGAAAAGCATAAGACTGTTTTTTTTTTTTAAATCAAAACTGATCAAAGTTGCAGAAAAACGCTTACGGTCACCACAATATCCACGTTTTCTTCATTTCAGTTTCTCAAAACTGAGATTACATAGATGCACAGATTATTCGTTGTCGTGGGACAGTTTATCTGTACTTTTAAAAGTATAGATAAATGTATATAGTAAATTTAAAAAAAAAAAAGATGAATTGAAATGCATCAATTTTGACAATTTAGCTGTTAAACATGTGACATGAAGACCTAAAATAATTTAAACAAATACATTTATTCTGTGTGCTTGAATTTAAAAAGTTTTGATTTAAAAAAAAATCCTTACCACATCCTTTGTTTCCGTTATTTTGCATAAATAAATAAAATTGAATCTGCATCACTGTACAAGCTTAGATGATTATTATAAAATTACAGATGTTTCAACATCAAAGATGGCTGAAAATAAACTAAAAATAATAATAAAAAAAGAAAAAAATGTTCAGTCTTCAGAAAGTCATGTTTTTTATTTTTATTAAACTGACAAGTAAAAAAAGATTTTAACATCTTTTCATTCAACCTTTATTTAGACGGATAAGTCACAGGCACAGTTTGCAAGTTTTTATCTTCTTAAATGTCAAATGACATAAACTGCGTCATGCTATAACTAGCATGACTAGTTGGTTGGTTTGTCACTCACAAACAGAAGATCAACGACCCTCCAGAATATTTTTCCACCTATTTCCCGTCATTAAATCATCTCTTTTAGAATGTGTGAGTCATGTTTCACCCTAACTCACACCACCCACACTCAAACAGGCCTTCCTGTGTGTTTAATTGAATCATTCTGGTTCAAACTGAACAAATGTATCGTTACAGAACACGGTCGGTGGCTATACGTTCCTGCTGTTCCACGGATGTTCGGAAACTTTGTTTGTGCGGTTTGGTGCAGGTTTGTGCCGATTCGCGATGGTGCGGCATCCAACATGACGTCTGCAAGGGCAGGGTGGAGATCAGCGTACATGTTAAAAACAAGGCTCTGTCTGAGCAAAGTGAAAATGCGTTTTAAAGCATTAAACATTTGGACAAGTTCTGAATCTGAAACCTTCTCCTGACTGAGGCTAAGGCTGAACAGGGACAGTTGGAGGACTGTGTCCAGCTGAACTGGATTTTCAAGGACATTAAATTATATTTTTCACATTTCATACACAGGGACATTTTTATTTGTGGACTGCAGGGGGAGCTGTTGTGCTTTGGGCACCGTTTGGGCACAACTTTACTAAACTGCAGCTTAATTGTGGTTGTAGTTCTACTTTTGTCCAGCAGGTGTCCCTCTAAAACCAGCTGATTTTAACTCTGATCATTTGTAGCATCACAAAACCAGGCAGGCGATGCACATCTTAAAGTTGTTGTTTTTTTTTCTTCAGCTGTTATCAAAGTAGTTTATACTAAATCAAATTTAGCTTCTGCGTAACAAACTCATTTATCAATGATGTTCTGTTGGTCATGTAACATTTGTGTCTACTGATAAACTGCTGACAGTCTCGAGAGCTGGAGGTTTGTGTCTTCTGGATGGACCGGAGCTCCATGTGTGCCGTCAAGTTCCTGCGACTGGAGGAGATGATGGAAAACCAAAACCACAACCAGAACTTCAGTCTGGAGCCGCAGGGCCTCCTCTACATCAAGGTACAAAATCTCATTGGTGGAGCGGGCAATCTGCAGAAATTATTTCATAATATTTTGTTGATGATCGCACCAGAGAGCTGAAAGAATGTGCTGTAATTTGCAGAAATTAAGTTGTTACTGTAAACCTTAAAGGTACAGAGCTCTAACTAAAAGCTAAAAAAAACACATTAGCTAAAAGCTAAATGAAGCAAAAGACTAGCTAAATTTGATAAAAACACTGACTGAAAGCTACAAGCACCAAATGTTAGCTGCTCAGAGCTAAAGTAGAAAAAAAATTAGCTAAAAGCTTAAAGTAGCAAAAGGTTTGTTAAAATAAAAAAACACTAGCTTGAAGCTAAAAGCAGCAAACAAACAAAAAAAAAGTATCAAAAAGCTAACTAAAAGCCAAATCTAGTCAAATGCAAGCTAAAAGCTAAACACACCAAGGGGCTAGCTAAAACCTGTCTAAATAAAAGTTAAATGAATGAAAAAGCAAAAACTTGCAACAGGCTGACTAAAAGCTAAAAGTAGCAAAAATTCTGGTAAATGTATCAAAAGGCTAGTAATAAGGTAAAA